ATATAGCTTAATTCTATGTAATTTATGTTTAGCAAGACAAGTGATGAATGTAGTGGAAATAAGGAAAAATAAGTGAGAAAAAACCAAAATAGAAGAAAATGAAAGTTTAGGGACTAAAGTGCAAATAATCTAAACTTATTTCTAACATTGTGATGAAGATTTGAGAGTATTAGAGGTTAATTGGATGAAAAAAAGGAGTCAATGGGATGAAGTATAGTCAAAACATTATCACATACCAACTTTCGAGTTGAAAAGTTTTACATCTGTTTTCAACCTCATATTGAGAACAATTTTTGATATGGAAAACGATTGAATTCGAAAATGGTATCTGAAGCAATGTTGTAGCCATTTGAGTTAACTTTCTAACGTATCTTGAATCACCCCAATCGAATATCATGAGAGAAAGTTATAGCCCTAAAACTCTGCAAGGCCCGTGCCCTTGCCTGCATGCGAGGCGCATGCCTCACACCAAGGCAGCCTCAGTCGAGGCTGCAAAAATCCTTAAAGTGCGCGCCCACCTCAAGCCAAAATTTGACGAAAATTCTAGTTTCCTTCTACTACTCAACCACGTATGGTAAATTATTTTAGCACGATTTCTCAACCCTAAAGGACCCCAAAAAACGTGCGAGAAAGTCTCATTCCTCATTATACATCCTTTCATCTCCTTTTGCTCAAGAAACTCATGAAGAACTAAATCTTTTGGTAAAGTAGTCGAGGAACTCAATTGAATATGGTGATTGGTCTTTTCTTGCTCAATAGTCTTAGGATTTAGACTTTTCTTTTCATGAATTTATATTGAAATCGGTTTACTAATTACTAAACTTTTCATGGATTCAGTCATTTTTTTTATTATTTAATCAAATTATTTATTAAATTTCAATTTCAATTACTTATTGTTGAAATTAGTTTAACTTTTATTAAATCCTTTATAGATCCCGTCATGCTTCTTTTATCATTAGAATGAACTAATTGTTGAATTTTAATCTTAGTATTAATTTATTGGCGAATTGATTACTGCTATATACTTGATATATATGGTCAATCTTTGATCTTATTATAATAAAATTGTGCGAATATGTCATAAGTCTAGATTCTAGGATTACATTTGTAAATTAAATTGATTTTCACGATATATCTTCCGATTAGAATGACGGGATGAAAGTTTCTAATTGTGTTATAAAAATGGAATAATTGATGTGATGGATCCAATCCAACTGAGAAAATTCCGATGATTCATTGCCTCAAATTATTGACTTTAATTTCACCTTTCAATATTGAATTTTACTACACATTGAAGACGATAACTCACTTTTTGAAACCCTTAAGCATTTTCTATCTCCTTGTGGATACGACACCCCAAAACTGCACTACAATTCCAACGTTATTCTTTGGGCGTAATCAATTTCCTTGCT